AGGCCCAAATAAAAGAAGCTAAAAAGCTCAAGCCCGTAAACTCTGCGTTTGAATTTGCCGCCAGACTGAGACCCGAACTCCCGAACAACATAGGAAAAGGAAACCACTACTTTCCTAATACCGAAGTATATTTAACAACCACTCTGTTCATTGTTCTTTTCACAAAAAAATTACAAGCAGAAATTAAGAAGCAAGTGATCATATCGACGTCTAGGTTTCATTCCTCGGTGCTTGAAGAGTAAGCAGACATTATCGTAGATAGCCTCGAGAATTTCTTGTTTTCTTCATCTTCCTCAGAAGGAGTCATATCTCTTTGATCAATTAGTAATAGGGTTCTCTTGGATTTTGCAATTTCGGTTCTTGGGTTTGGTTAAGATTGTAGATTTTAACATCTATCATTCTAGGGTTTGTTTCCTCCATTACCATCCAACATGACTGTTCCTGGGAAAGGCGCAGTTGGGAAGCAGAACAATTTAGCAGACAGAAAATTGACTTCTCGAATTAATGGGAGCAACAACAAAGGAGCGGCCCAAGTCCTAGTAGTTCTAGATGGTAATCAAAGGAATGGGAAAAAGAAGAGAATAATGGATACATTAAAAAGGCTGCGATGCAGCAAGAACAGGGTTGGCGCAAGTACTTTTAAGCCTAAGCAGCAGCAGGAAAATGGTATTGTGACGATTACCACCGGTGATCAATGCTGCTGTACGAGTGAAGCTAATCTTGCCGACGAATATGTTTTGAAGACGGCGTTATGTGCTGCAAGGTTAACACCCCGCTTCGCCGAAATTATTTCCGTAGCAAAAGCTGCAAAATTTAACGTCGATCAAGAATAGGAGAGAACGGTAAAAAAAACAGGGCAAAGAGGAAGAGGAGCTAAGATCAGCCGAGCAATTGAAGAAGAAAGAAACTGAATTGAGGCAGAGGGAAAGAGAAGCTGCCCGCATTGCGTTACAGATGATAGAAAGCACTGTTGATTTGGAAGACAATCTCATGATTGTGAAGGAACTTGAGCAACTAAGTCAGTGTGCTCCCTCTTACATTATCCATGGATGCGACGGACCAGCAGTGATGGTATTGAGAGGTTTAAAGAATGGCAAAGTTTTGCACCCTTTAGAGCAGCTTGGCTTGCACTTGAAGGAAGAATTCAGGGCATTGGATGATGATGATGAAGACGCATATTTGAGTCGTGGGGAAGTAGAAGAAGGAGAGATCATCGAATCCTAGTATTTTTTCACATAATGTTAAATTGCGTTGTAGATATCATCAAATACTAGAATTCTGCACATCAAGTTAACTTGCGTTGTAGATATCATCGAGTTTTTCAAATTGTTAACTTTTTGTTCATAACTTGATATATTGAATTCAACCTTGAGTTGCAGCTTTGATTTCTTGTTTTGTATTACTAATGTGAGAGTTCATATAGCTATTTAGTTTTGTACATATCTTGAGTTTATGAATTCTTGTTTTGTACGTTAATGAATTCAGAGCTTGAGTTTATGCTAGTTTTTCACTGACGAGTAAATTGAAGAGGTTTATGCGTACTTGGAGAGTTCAGTCTTCACTTAAACACAGTCATCCGTTCAAGATGAAGGCATTTTCTTGTTTCATGAAAGAGTGGTAGAATACCAAAAATTGTCCAGGTATTGACATCTCAGCAGAGCTATGCATAAAAGGTAAGGTTATTTGGTGTATCTCAGGTTCCTGAAAGCTGCGAAAAACCTAAGAATTGTCTTGAAATTAAGTACTAATTTCAGCTTCTGTCACAAGCTGCCATTCAGCTGTTTAGTGTTCTGCTATACATGACCCAAAGTGTTTGATTAAACTACGAAGAACATAAGAGTAATACATATGATCATCCTTTATACCTTGAAGAAGGCTATGGAGAAAAGAAAATTGGAGATCAGAAGAAGCAGAGCATTCTATTCTATCTCATTTTATAATGATAATGGTAGATTTTAGGCATTACCAATTTGACTAATACCTGCATAAATGTTGTATTCTATCGCCAATTACCCTTGTTTGCTCATCCTTTGTGTGCAGATTACAAAAGCACGCTCTCTTTATTGCACAAGTAATGCACAAGTAATGCTTGCAAGGTACACTGGACTGGTTGCACACTAGACTAAATGAATCAAGTTGTGAATCGGCAACGTCAAGACTCGACTCAAGGTTGGTCAACATTCAACTCGAGTCGAGTTTGAGTACAGAAAAACTCAATTAGTCAACTCGCCAGCCGCTTGATATTACATATATATATATATATATATTATATAATTTTTTATTTTAATAGTAAAATTGCATGTATATTCATAATATTTTATTAAGAAAAATTTACTATTTTTAGTTTTTTATTTCCATTAAAAAAATTTTATTAGTCACAACTTAATTAAAATTTCAAATCTTCAAAAATATTAATATTGATACCAAAACAAGGGCTCTTAGGACAATAAAATCTTTGTCGTTTGTACTTAATGTTAGATCTGCCCAAAAAATAGAAAATAAAAGCAAAGAAAAAAACTCAATATCTCTACCAATAAAATTTCTATTCTCAAAAAGTGAACAATTAGAAAAACAAAAAGATTTATATGTGATACTCATCTATACTCTATTGTTAACAGAAATAACACACAAAATACTACAAAGTGTTCAAATTAAAAGAATATATATCTCTTCACTTTTCAAAAGATGGTGCATATAACTTCATATTGAGAAATTTCATCAAGATATGGACAAATTCAACTTACGTAACATGAAAAATAATAATGATAAAGCATGCAACTGATATTTATGCAAACAATTAGTTTTTATTTTATTTTATTTATTTATTTACCCTTCTCTATACTCTTTTTTCATCCCAACAATCAGGTATATGATTCGAATGCTGAATAGAAAAGAACTCTAAAAGACCTACCTTGGCCACTGAACCAACCCAGTAATTAGCAAACATTTAACTTTTGCGTAGCATGCAAATTTAGGTAATCCAACTTTTAAAAGAAAAATAAAAATTTGTTTATCTAATTAAAAATCAAACAATTGTAATTCTATTATCATAATTGTTTGTCATGGGAAAAAGAAAAAAAGTAATTAAAAGTATCAATATTATACATACTATTGAATATATTGATACTTTTGTCAAATCATTTCGTATTTGGTTAAATCTTTATTTTAAAAAATTTTTAATTTTCCATCTTCCTTAATTAATTGTCCTTAAAACCATTATTTTAAATTGAAAGAGACCAAATGTATCGTTATCTGTTAAAAATTCTGGGGAGATTTTATATGAATTTGTAAATATAACATTTTGTGAACTTTTATTTTGCTTTTAAAATAATGGTTTTAAAGAAAATTAATTAAAGAAGATAAAAAATTAATAAAAAAGAAAATATGCAAATATTAAATTTGTTAAAATAACTTTTCACAAATAAATTTTAATGTATAAAATATTATATTTTATGATATTATAATCACATGCAAATCACGTGACCTATTACTAGTTAGTTTAAGTTTTTTTTTTTTTTTTGATAGGGTGCTTTGATAGCGTCTTTTCCTGTGGTTACTAGGTGCGTTTTTCCGCGCAATGCGCGGGCGGCAGGTTAGTGTGGTTCAGTACTGGTTAGTCTTAGTATTTAAAATCTGCGTCGATGCTTAAAATGTACAGTGGGCTGTATTTAATGCTTAGTATTTTTTTCATGTTTGCAGTTGTTGAATTTGATTTGGTTAGTATTTTTTATTGTCTTTATTAACTAATAGTGTATTGTTTTCATTAATAGGTAAATAATACTTCTAGCCAAATTTTTTTGGTCTGAGTTTGTTATCCTTTCATTTGTTTATTTTAAGTGTACGTCACATTCTTTAGCAGCAGAGTAATTTTTTCTGCTATTCACATGCGCACAGTTCGTATTTGTTTGAAAGTGAGACGTGGAGTATAAGTATGAGCTGGTTTGCTGAGTTTAAGTTGTTGGTTCTTTAGCAGCAGAATAATTTTTTCTGCTATTCACATGCGCACAGTTCGTATTTGTTTGAAAGTGAGACGTGGAGTATAAGTATGAGCTAGTTTGCTGAGTTTAAGTTGTTGGTTTACGAGATTTTGTTTTCGTGACAGGTGAAATAATGGCGGTGAACGATGAAGTATTTTCAACACTTCAAGATTGTAGTGCTGTACAGATTTTGAAGTTTTCTTTATCAGATGCATAGAGTTTATAGATAGTTCACGTGAGCAGTGTGTAATAAATGGTTTTGTCTCATTGAGTTCAGATGCATGTGATTTTTTTTCAGGGGTGCATAAATGTTGGCTTTGGGAATCTTTGGGATCAGGCATGCAAACTCACTGTCTATTTTGTGTATATATATATGAGCATAGGATGTAGATGTTTTTTTTCGTGGTTTAGAGATGGAGTATACTCATAATCGTTTTGCGGTATTACGTGATTTGCATCCTGATGTTGAAGTCATGTTCAATCGATTGTCATTAGCTGGTGTGGTGGGGTCTTTGCCTGGCCATAATGGAGATACCACCTGTTTGAATAGTTCTAACAGGGCCTTGGCAAATAATATTTTGCTGCGGAATGAGATATATGACTTGTTTAAGAGTTTTTATCGAAGATCTGAGAGGATTGCCGTGTTGGATGAAGTTTTGGGAGATATTGGAGAATTTCCTTTTCTTCAGATAATTGCTCACCGCATGCAAGTTGAGGTCGAAGAACAGAAGAAAGCTGCTGAGAGTGCTATGATTTAGTGGTTTTCTGGGCTTTTTTTGTGTTTCATATGTACTAATTATTATGTGAAGATGTTGGGGCCATTAGTTTGTGGCTTGCACTATGTTGAAGGATTTGGATCTGTGTATTTTGTTTTGGTACTTTGATATAATGTAAGTGTTTGTGTAATAAATTTACCATATTAGATGTTGTGATTGTGTTATTGAATTGGAGTTTAGATATAATGAAAGTATATGAGGTTCGTATCTAGTTACTGGTTATAAGTCTATAATCACAGGTTAATTATTTCGAGAAATGAGCTGACCATTTTTTAACAGTAACGTGAAATAGTATTCATCAATTACATGGTATTTCAAAATCATAGTTAGACATCTGATTTCATTTTCAGCACTTCAAAAGCACAGCTACATATCTGATGATGCTATACAAAATGTTCAAAAACATAATTGGAGCTGTGGTTTAGAGTAGGGTAGACTAATTCCCTGGCGTAGACCTTTTAGCAAGGCACAAACGATAGCCTATGTACATTGATGGAGATGGCAGTTCATCAGATGTTCAAAAGGTTGGTCAAAAGCTTTGATGCAGATAGTTTGGAGTAGGGTAGACTAATGCCTTGGTGTAGACCTTTTAGCAACCCACAAACGATAGCCTATGTACACTGATGGAGATGGCAGTTCATCAGATGTTCAAAAGGTTGGTCAAAAGCATAGATGCATATACTATATCTACAGCTCCATGTCAGTCGGGTCAGTGCGTTGTTTCTTAGTTGGAGTTTCTGTGATTTTGAGTGTTGTGAACAAATTGCTGTCCAAATTTGTTGCTCCCCTGTAACTTTGAGCAGTTGCATTGAGAATTGTTGAATTGGTGGTCAAGTTCGATGATTCTGGAGCTGTAAGTGGATTTGTAGAAGGAGTGGAAGTTGAAGCTGAATTTCTAGAAGTGCTTGATATTAGTTCTGCAGCATTTGCTTTGTGCACTATGATAGCTGCGTATTTTTCTGTGTCGGCAGGTCCACGATTTCTAGTCATTTTTTTCACGAAGCAGGTGAGGATACTACTCTCAATAGCCTGTTCAATAGCTGTGTAATCAAGCTGATGCTGCAATATTTGTGTTTGAGTATTAGTCTATACAATGTATATGAGTTTATGTTTAATTGGAGGTTGGTAAGTTTTGCATATGAATGTATACTGACCTTGCCTTCGAGTTCTTGAATCTGTGGCAGTGTGAAGGGCAGTAGTTGCTGTGCATCATTGTCATACAAATCAAGTGTGAGGTTTCCAGAGTAATCAGCCAGCTCTATGGTTAACCTACTCCTGTAATTGTTGTTGGTAATTAGTGAAACAATGTTTATTGAAGTAGTTTGTGAAGTTGCTGTTGTGATGGTTACCTTGGAAGAATGTTAACATTCTTGTTGCAGGAAGTGCAAATAATCTTCCATTGAGGTTTAGCTCTGAAGGATTTGTGACAGTTTGAGCATGCATTATACCATAGCCGTTGGCTTTTGTCAAGGAATCGTGGGCTTCCTTGAATCCAATAAGCTTTTTTCTGAGAAGAAATAAGACTCTAAGTTGCCTAATTTGGTAGATAAGTGAATGATCCAAGAAGTTAGATTTCTGAAAGTTCCAGAAGCTCACCATTGGTAAATTCAGGAACTCTTTGATAGTGCAGAGCTCATCTTCTGTAGGTTGTGGTAGTAGGCTGGTTCGGTTTAGGTATGCTCTTTGTGTTATGAGGTCATTGATCTGTGTTTTGTTTTCCATAGCCCTTGTGAGCAGATATCAATTGTTAGTTATAAGAATATTGCAAATACTCTGTTATAACATATCGGAGGACAGTTTAATTGAAGCAAGCGCCTACCATTGCCTCAACATTGAACCTTGTTGTATTGGGGGGTTCACCAAAACACTTGAGCCAAACTTTGTTGAGAGATTTAGAGCTGCAGTTTTATGTAATTGAAGATGATATTAATATTCTAAGATGTGGTGAAGTATATGAATGGTGGATTTGTGATATTTTGAGCTATACTTACTGTGGTATGATGAAACTCTCAGTCGAAGGCCAACAATGAGTGGCATTGATTGAATCATGTTGGCAATTGCTTGGCCTTCATCTGTCTCGTGATCACCCCAGAGAGTTAGGATGACTGGCATGAAGCTGCAATGTATTTGATTAGATGTCTAAAATTAGTTTTTTTATATCTATCTATTGAATTTGGTGGCACAATCTATATAGACTGATTACTCTCTTTACAATAATGATTACCTTTTGTCTATGATTACAATCTCTCTAGTTGGGGTAGTGCCTTTGTGAAATCGTTGATGGACCTCTGCGATAATGCCAAGTATATCTGTTCTTTGCATTCATCAAGGAGAAATTAATTAGCAGTTTTTCAAATATGAGATAGTTATATATCTGAGTTTTGCATATTACCTATGTCTGACGTATCATCAATGTGTTGGTAGAATCTTCTGAAAGGAGTGAATCTGAAAACAGGAGGAATTTCTGGGGGATTTGGTTCATCCATTGCCTGGACAACAGTGGAGTTGTCAATATACCAAGTACATTGATTTTCACGTACACGATATTCCAGTGGAGTATATTCAACTCTTGCATTGGACAGCATGTAACGCATATACAGGCGAAAGTGGTTGCGAAAGAATTCTATGTCTGATTTGTATATCATAGCCTCCACTGTGGTGCCCTGTACAAAAGGTTTGGTTCCATTCACATGTGAGATGTATTTTGAGGTGTAGTAAGAATTCAGGAAGTTTTGTAGTGTATTTACCTGCCCATCAATGAGTGTAAGCTTCTGATAGCGATTTCCTGCTTTTGATAGGAGCGGCTTCTGTTTGTCAAGAACCTGAACTATTGTTGTCCAATCTCGAAGTCCAGGAATAATTTCAGCAAATGCTATGACTTTTCTGTCTTCCTGTAACTTGAAAGAATAATTGGTGGATGATTTTGTGAAAAAAAATATAGAAACAGAATACAGATAATATAATAGAGTGGCACGTGTGTGAGTGAGCAAATCATTCATGTGCTAAATCGAGGACCTCTTTATACACTACATTATTTGTTATTGAGTCTTGTTCAGGATCAAATATAGGTGGTTTGATGAGCATTTTAATTGAGTTTTTATTTTTTGCTCTGGACATTGCCACATATAGCTGTCCATGTGAGAAAACTGGTTCACGTAAGTATATTCCCACAAAATCCAACGTCTGGCCTTGAGCTTTGTTAATAGTCATTGCGAAACAGGGTCGAACAGGAAACTGGATGCGTTCAAAAGATACTGGAGAGTCTGGATTGGTCTCAATTCTGAAGCATATTCGATGGAGAAAGACCTCTTTCCCAGTGAACTCTCCACAACTTATTACTGCATGTATAATGTTAGAGTTTAAAGATTTGCAGATGAGCCTTGTTCCATTGCACAATCCTTGGGGGGGATCAATGTTTCTGAGCAACATAATTGGACAATGTGGTTTGAGGAGCAGCCTGTGAGGAGGAAATCCATTGGGTGTTAAGGCATTCACGAAATCCTCCATGATTGTCTGTTCAGAATCGTCAATGCATTTGTCCCTACTGATGTATTCTTGGACCTGTCCAGGTAATTGATGTATGATTTTCTGGTTGATGTCATCAACAAATTCGTTCTTTGTTGTAAGTATAGCACGGTTCACGGCTGAAAAATCATCATGGAAGAATGCCATTAAATCCGGGAATACAGCCTTACTGAGCTCTGTGATGGAATCTTCGTCATTTGTGTATCTTATCAGCAATGCAGTATGTATTTGGATAGAGTTGTTATTGATAACAGGCTCTGTTCCATTTCCAATACGGAGTAGATATTCAATGAACTCAGGATCATGTCTTGCTCTCATATTCTCTGTCAGGTGAAGTTTATGAAGTTGTGGCCATATATATAAATTTACTATGGAAGCATCAATAAAATCCACTTTTGTGCCTTTAGTAACAACCGGTAATACCTGACGAAAATCTCCTCCAAAGACAATTACCTTTGATCCAAATAAGTCATTGCAGTCCATTAAATCTTGGAGTAATCTATCAACAGCTTCTATTGAGATTTTATTCATCATTGGAGCTTCATCCCAAATTATAAGGCTGGCTGATTTTAGAAGTTGTGCTGATGAACTTTGTTTGCTGATTCTGCAGTTGGTATTTTTGGTTGTATCTAATGGTATGTTGAATCTTGAGTGAGATGTTCTTCCACCAGGTAATATTGAAGCTGCTACTCCACATGATGCTGTAGCAAGTGCTATGAATCCTTTTGATCTCACTTCAGCTAAGAGTGCTCGATAGAGAAATGTTTTGCCTGTTCCGCCTGGGCCATCAATAAAAAAACAACCCTTCTTTATTTTGAACACTGCATCGATAATTATATCAAAAGCAATTTTTTGGTCACAGTTTAGTTGATAAATTGCTTGGAGATCAGATTCTTGGACAGTGATTGTTGTTTCTGCTGTTGTGTCTCTTGTGTTCTTGTTCATATGATTAAAGTTTAGAGCATGTGGAACCAGAGCATATGAGTTGATGTCTTTTCCCATTGATTGCAAAAAATTATTTATCTGTTCAAGTACTTTGTATCGTATTTGATCAGGTGTAAATTCTGACATTCTTATGAAATCTTCTGATAAAGAATATTCAAATTTTTTCCAAAGGTATCTACTATCTGATGGAGGAAAGTGTACCAGGAGAGTTGCAAATAGCCTTCTCAGTATGTATGGCATCTGGTACGAGCTAGCTTCTTCAAGACATTGCTCCTGCGACGTATCTGATTCAAAATAGCCTCTAAGGATAGCTGCATCACGGAATGTACTGATATATTTTCCATTGATTGTCTTGAGGTCATCGAATGATGTTGGAGCTCTAACATGTGTTAGGAGTAATCTAAGAAAGTAACGTTCTCCTTCTCCTATGCTTGCTGCGACAATTCTACCAATAGAATGCTTTTGTTTTCTGGGTTCCCATTTCTTCTTGCCAGGGTACCAAACGAAGTGTTCTGGGAATTCTTTGTACGTGCACTTAAGATGCTGAGCCAGTTTGTCCACTGAATTCATATAGAAGAATTCTGTTAACATGGTTCTTTTTGCATGCCTATTCCTCACCACATCTCGAAGGTCCTGATCGGGTGTGAAATTCATTGCTTGGCAATTTTCTAAGTGGAGCTGGAGGTGAATGACAGAAGGATGGATTTCACTTAGCTGGAATCTGAAGATTCTCCAAGTTGCCTCTACTGCACATACCCATCTAGCCGACTGGAATTCCCTTATTTCATCAATTGCAGATGGTTGGATGTTAGAATCTGGTCGATCAGAAGCATCTGAATTTACTCTAAAACGTATTCTGTCATGCCCCTTATATATATACTTGTATATATACTTCACGGCTTTCACTGTGGAGCAAATTTCTACATTTATATGACAGTCAAATTTTGCTAACAGATATCCATTGTATGGAACTACCCATCTATTATCCAACTCATGTCCGCGAACTATTATTTTCTTTCCATCTTTCCTTCTGCGATAAGTGGGATATGTATTCTCTCCATGGAAGGTTGTATCAGCAAATGGCTTTGGGTAATTATTTTTGCACTTCTTCTTCTGACTTCCTTGCATACAAACATTATCTGGATTTTGTTTTCCGCAAGGACCATGGATCATATGCTTTCGGACCATATTAAATAAATGTCGATTGGGCATCTTATCAGGAATTTCTGCACTCACAATGTTATCATAAGATTCTGTGGAGTAGAGCTTGGACCCTGCTTTCAAGATTATGAGAAAATGAGCATGGGGCAGACCACGTTTTTGAAACTCAACTACATAGGTATAGGCAGCTACTGGTCCAAAGATTTCTTTTCTGAAGAGTTCTTCTTTGAGAAGATCAAGTTTAGCGTGAAAAATCCGAGCTAATAAGTCTGGTCTGTTATGAGCCTCATCAGTAGGAAGCATATGTTGTTTGATCTCAGGCCATGAAGGGTTGCAGGTCATTGTAATGAACAGATCTGGTTTGCCGAATTTTTGTACAAGAGCCATGGCGTCAACATATCTTCTCCTCATATCACGTGGACCACCTATAAATGAAGCTGGGAGGATTACTCGCTGCCCTACCCTTGATCCCTGGCAATGCCCTGCTACTACACTGTCCATTATACCTTGAAGCTGCTCTCTTCTTATTAATTCTTGTCGATTCTTGTAGTAATCAAGTCTCTGGGTTTCTATCTTTATATACATATCAATCACATATTGTTGTAGCAGTCTGCCAGTATTAAGTACACTTGGAGTATATTTTTCTCGCATCTGCAATTTATATGAATAATACTCACGCATTGATACAAACTCCTTATTGTTTTCCAGATCGTTACAACCTGCAATACAATTGTTCAATGTAAGCATCATAATATTTATAAGTACATACTGGAGAATATAATTCTAGATTATGATTCTATGCATACCTTGCTCCTCAGCATCTAGTAGCTCTTGTGCAGATCTGTAATTAGGAAAAGGAGTAGTGCAGCTAGCTTTTTTGTTGCATCTCTTTCTCTTCTTTGGATTTTCCATAGTTATCCTTCTTATACCAGGATGCCATCCAGTTTCTCCAAGCGGGAATAACAGTGGATACTGCAATGGATCATAGCATCCATAATAGTATTGTAACAGGTGGTCTTTACCCTCTTTTGTATAGATTTGAATATGTCTCGTGTATCCTTCTTTAAATTCCTGACCCTCCACCCATAAAGCTGCAATTTGAGATGCAGTTGGTTGGTTGAAGACCCTCTGATCATTTTCTGAATGGGATTTAAGTACTATCTGGTATGAGTCAAGATCTGGAACATGTTTTAAGCTTCGAAGAAAAGAAGCGTAAGGATTGGATTCCATCATATGCATAATTTTTTTTACTATACTCTCTGTCAGCTTCTGTGATATAGCTAGTCTGTTTTCTAACTCATGGTCTGTGTCATGGAAATATAGCTGCAGATAGACGCCAGAACCTCCAGATGGAATCAGATCTTTGATGAAGTGATAAGTTTGTCCTTGGACTTTGAATGTGTAAATGCCATTAGTTCTTTTGCAGAGGGATTTATCATAATGCACTCCAAAAGAGGTGAAGCCAAACATGTTGTTGTATGTCCTGACATATGTTCTAAAAGAAGCGGCTTCATCAGACCGACCAGTATATAGTTCTATCAAAATATCCGGAAGTTTGTTTTGCTGGAGAACCACTTCACCATTAGAACAACAAAAATTTGGTGTTTCAGAATGGAACTTTTTTGCCTCACAGTAACTGCAATGTGGCTTTGAAGGCAACATGTCTGGTTCATCGTTAATGAATTTCAATGCTCCAATCCCATCTGGATTTGTTCTCCCTACAATACATTCAATGTAATTGTAACTATTGAACAGAAGAGTAGAGGTTTGGAACAGAACTCTACATGTACAATAAACTATATTCAAAATACCTTTTGGTCTCTTAGTTGTCTTATTAACGGTCTGAGTTTTTTCCAGCACTGATTTTGTGTTGGCTGTACATTTATTCAGAAGATTTTGGCAACGGTGAGAAGTAGACTGATGGTGTAGCAAGTATTACAATAATGAAACTTGGTGACAGAGGACAACCTAAACCTCCATTTTTGTTAGCAGTAGATCCTAGTAACTGTCGAGTAGCCTGATATCGTGTAACAAGTGATGACAGTTCTATAAAGAGGAACCCATCGTGTCACTTACAGTAAACAAACTGAATGTAATTTAAGAAGAAACAAAATATATGACGGTACTGAAGCATCAAATACCTGGAACTTGTTCAATACTCTCTGGAGAGAAGTTGTAGCAGCTCATACAGACAAATGAGTTAGCTGTAAGTTTAACATAAAGAATAAATGAATAAGTATGAAGAACCTGGTGGCCAGTTATATGTTCAAAAATACATTTCTATGGCCAATAAAATCTGGCAATATTTAATACAAAGTTAGGTAAAGTAGTGGTCCACCTGAAGTGTATGGAGTAGTATGATGTGAGCAGACATGCTTGTGGTTCGTGCCTGAAGAACTACCTGCAATTGAAGAATGTTAGAACAATACAATGGTATTTTGAAGCAACAGTTATGATAATGGTAGTAATACTTCTATAAAAGTAACAGGGATGAAGACCTTGTTCATAAGTGGAAAAGTGAGACACACTGTTCTTTAATTTTGATCCACCAGATTGACTGTTACATGCAGAGAGCTGAGGATTAGGAGAGGCAATTTTGGTGACATACGCATCAATTTTCTGAGCAGATGCATTTCCATGAAGATTTGGAGCTGCAATAGAGGGTAAACAGAAACTCAACATGCAGACAACAAAAAAAAAGAAAGGGTGAACGAAGCTTGCGAAACATACATGTGACACATCGACCATGTTCACTTAATTCTGACATTAATATCTTCGTCCGTGGCAACAGGTTATTGCATCGGTGGAAATAGCTACCATCAGCACAGTTGTTAGAAATAGCTAGTAAACCAGAGCCTGGAGTATCTGATGGTCTGGAAATCTGCTGAGATTGTTCAGCAAGTGGCTTGGACAAGAGTTTGCTTAACTTTCTTCTGTGATACGCATCTCTATTTTTCTTTCGATGAGCTTCTTTTTCTTCTACCGACAGAGCAGCAAATCTTTCTCTCTTTTTTCTATTCTTCTCAGATTTTTTCTCACGGACATTCAGAGCATTGTTAGGTGGATGTAACTTAGAGGAACTCATGTTGTCCGTATTATAATGGAAGAGATTTTTTATAATATAATTACACAGTGAATAAAGTAGGAGCTTGTTAAGCGTGATAAGCAGAAAATACTGATAGCAACAACAGCAAAAACGACCGACATAAACTATGGACTAACAGACCTGTTAATAAATCTAGCAAAACAATACCTCCATTGGTAGCTAAGGCAGACAGCAGTGCAGCAAATTTGTTGGAGAGCTGAATAAAAGATATTAAAGCAGTAACCGTAGAATTTCTGATAAACAAAGAAACCAGAGAGACGGAAGTTCAGAGAATACCTTGCGTGGGAATTGTTGTATTCAAAAGAACCGAGAACAAGGTTTACATGGAAGTCAAAGCTGAAGTATGCAGTCGATTTTGCATGAAGACTGTTTGTATCTTACAAGTCAATGAAAGAAATGGGAAATTACAAATATAACCAAGCGGTGCCATGCAATGATGCAGAAAACAGATACTGTCCAGAAGAATTTGGTAAACAGCAAAGGTAAATGGCCGACAATTAACAAAAGCTAAGCATGAATTGTAAGCAAGAGCTGAATGATACATGACACGTATGTTTTTGAAATGATGATAATGATAAGGAACCTGTGTGTCTACATAAATTTTCGTTCAATAGTTGAGCTAAATAATACGTAAAAAATTGTAAACAATGACACGTATGTTTTTAGATGACAAGGAACCTATGCACTTACCTAAATTTTCGTTGAAGTGAGTGGATTGTTTTATCTCTTTACATATAAAAAATAATAAAGGATTACAATAATAAACGATTTACAGAAACATGTGATTAAATTTTTTATCTTAGATATATCTCTATTTTATATATCTCTATTTTATATATCTCTAAATATACATATATATATATATATATATATTTTATCTTAGATATATCTCTAAATATACATATATATATGTATATACAAAATGCCTTCAGCATACACAATGGTTTTTTTTACAAACGAAAAAAAATATATATATGTATATAATATAAAGGAATATTATACGTAGGATATATATATATCTCTCTGAATTTCTTAAAAGTCGGGGCCCATAAGTGGCAGGAGCACAAAACACAATCCAGAAAATATGCAGTGCACTTGAAGCTCCACCTCAGGTACAACAGCTCTAGCAAAGGTTTCAGCACTCAAAAGTACAACACATGGAAGCAAAGTGGCACTTGAAAATAGCTGCACCGTAGAAACACAAAGTGCTTCTTATGTATATGTAAGGACATTATGAATCAAATTAATATGTCCTGAAGTTAATATATATGCCACTTTGCTGGGACATATATGCTAGCCACCCAAAATCAGTGGCTAATTTTTCCCCAACTATTCTAGTCTTGTAATATACATGAGCAGCTTGTTTTTTTGCTAGATGTCGACTAGGTGGGGTTATGTTTGCTTAGTTTTAACGGATAATTTCAGAAACCTCCCTTAAGGTTTCTAACAATTTTACTGAACTCCCCTAAAATTTGAAAAATTACACCTACTTCCCTTAATTTGATAGTTTTAGTATCTAAATCTTAAAATAATATTGACTTGGTCAAATTTTTAAATGAATACCCAAAAATGCCCTTGTGTAATGAGTTTTAAGTTATATACCTACACAATTATAAGATTATCTAGTATAATTATAAGAAAAAGGTACCAAAATTTTCATGTCCATACCTACTATTTGATAAACAATTATAATAATAATTTTATCACTATGATAGGATATTTGTGATGGTATTTTATTATAGATTTAGATTTATAAGATTAAAAAGAAAATGCCGAAATAATTCATTTAGAGTTTATGAATTTTTCAAGTAGTAGGATTATCATAATTTAACAGTGATTTTGGGCCATTTCTTTTTATATTTACTATTAGCTTTAATACCAAAAAATAGAAAACAAAGATCACCAAAAACATTGGATTACATATAAGTTGACTCATAAAAAAAAAATCACTAGTTCGACATTTGGTTATAATAGAAACCAGAGGTAATAATGCTAGTTATACAGTTTTATTGGCAAAAAATAAAAAAAAGGAGTAAGAAGAAAAAAGAATGAAAAAATAATTTTAAAAGTCATTCTAAGTATAAGCATACCAAATAAGGGAATTTCATTAATTAAGGGTAGTATTATTACTTTAAATGATAAGGGAGGTATGTGTAATTTTTAAAACCTTGAGGGAGCTAAATGAAATTGTTAGAAACCTCAAGGGAGGTATCTGAAATTATCCCTAGTTTCAATTGCAAATCTTTACTTTGCCGAGTTTAATTATGGGCATTAGCTCGCATCTTAAGATTCGTCTCAAGTTCTAGTTGGTTATTTACCATTTTTGTAGAATTAAGAGCTCACTCTAATTGTATTCCATGCTTTGCAATATAGCTGAAAATGGTGCGATACCAAATAAACAAAATAACAAGTGTTATTCCTTTTTTTACTATTCATAATTAACTAAAAATTATTCTTATTATGATCTTGCTATTTGTTACTTTTACTATTAATAGATGATTAATACTATTCTCTGATTGGTTGATTTTCTAAATATGCAACAGAGACATAAATGTGAGAAACCGTACACCGGGAATACAAGTTAAAACACAGTAGACTCATTAAGTTGATTGAAACACAGAGAACTTAAGTTATAATTTCTCATAGTACTGTGAACCACAGTCAAAATTTTCCCCATTTTCTTGCTAAACTTGTTAGATAGCTCTATTTTTATTTGGTTATGATGGTCCATGTTAATCCAATTCCCAGCATGTTTCACAATTTACCTATGTTTAAAGACTAAATATGCACCAAAATATTTTAGCAACTGCTAAGAATAAATTGCTCCAGCAGCAAAACATTTTTATTTATCAATATATAGGTCGCCAAGGCTAGAATTTTAGAGCAATCCCCACTTGACATGACAATCTATATAAGCAAGGGATAACATGTGGAGCCTATGGATTCTTATTCTTATTCTTGTTATACACTAGATAATTTCTCAATCTAGTTAGAAGCTGATTGGGTACTTTGGCTGCCTATTTGGAAGAAAGAGCCCAAAATGCTTCTCATAGTCTGGACTCTTTTGATCTTCATCAAACAAATCAAAAATGTAAGTCTCAATAGCTCTTCCAGGCCTTTTTGGGGTTCCAGAATTCCCATTGACATGCCCAATCAGGTTAGTGTTGTAAGTCCTGGCATTGTCTATTGATGTCGCTTGTCCTCCTCCATCTGATGGCCAACCGGTTTCTGATACAACAATTTCGACAGATTGGCCTCCGGCCCTTTCGAGCGCTGAGTATGTTGCATCCAAGAGAGCATCAAGAAGATTTTGATACTTCACACCATCTGGTGTGGTAATGCCCGAAGATGTAAAAAGAGCATATTCAAGAGCTATGCTCTGGGAATTGAATATGT